GAGAGAGAGAGAGATTGCCAAGAAGTCTAATCCAACTGAGTGGTGCAGGCGTGATCCTTAAGGCAGGCCTAGAAGGGTTAATGGACAAGCCATATTACTGTGTGTGTGGACAAGCCATATTACTGTGTGTGTGGACAAGCCATATAACTGTGTGTAGAGAGAAACAAGAACCCAATTGAGCATAGTAAACAAGGAACCACACCCAATTCTCTTAGTGTTAGCACATCACGAACCCGAAAATGCTGGGTTGAGCTTTTGGTGCAGGCTCGATCCTTGAGGCAATCCAAGAGGAGGCAGTGGACAACAACCATTATCAACATTATACAGCTCCCATTCCTTAACATAGCATCTCTCTAGTGCGTTGGCTAGTCTTTGGCCACCATTCTCACTAGGATATCTACCATCTGGGGTTACTAGAACAGCCCCTATATAAGATTGACCAGATGCTTGCGCTGCCCCTTTGTAATGGAAAAGGCCCCATCTAAGATCGTCACAAACGTCTATGATTGTCCAGAATTCTTTTGAGACCACACCATTATCTGATACACTGAAGAAAAATGTTCCGGGAGTATCACCCCTCCGAACTCGGTATCGTCGTCTCCTCCATACCATCTCCCCATCAAGTGTTCTCACCTAAAAAACATCGGAGGTTTAGAAATCGGTTCTTCAAGGTTCAATGAAATCAGAGAGTTAATTAGGCAATTGGATGAGTCAAGACTCATAATAATCATAGACTTGGTGAAGTTCTAAGATTTGTGTTTTTATACTCTGAGAATTAAGAAGTTTGAAAACAAAAAAAACCTTCTCTAACATAGTCCTCTCTTCCTCTCTGGTGTGAGCAAAATTTTGATCTCCCTATACACCAACAAGAATCTTTACCTGGAATACTGGCTCATACCAAAACGATCCTCTTGCTTTGCCTCTATAAAACAATTGATATTGGCATGGGAATTGATCGTAGGCCGGATTTTGACCAGCTGCTACCCTCCAACTCCATTCGAAGCTCCCCAAACACCCAACAAACAGATCTTCAGCAACTTCATGAGACAGCTTCTCCCCTCTAAACTCACGAAGAGGAAAAACTATCGGTTTCTCAGGAATTTCAGCACTTAAATCCAAGCAATTATGCTTTTGCAAAGCACAGAGAGAAAAAGCCTCTAATTTGGGGCTTTCATAGGAGGCTATGCACATATAACTGCACACTTGGTCCGTTGGGTCACAAGTATTCAAGCATTGCAAAGCTTTTCGACAATTTGAGTCCAATAAACAACCCAAGATTTCAGCTCTACAATTCTTAGCCATACATTTGAGGGTCGAAAACCCCTTTGCTCTAAGACCTTGCAATATGGGGACAGGCCTAACATAGCCATTGATAATGACCAAGATAACGAATCTTATGTCATCTGAATTGTAACGATTCCATGCCTTGGAAATAGTTTTAGCGGTATCTATAGCCTCATTGGATCTTCCATTGAGAAATTTCCCGGCAATTTTTTCTGCCAAGTTTCCTGCAACTGTGCTTGGAACTTGTAAGCCTCCAAGCTTGTTTGTGAGGAGAGGAAATGAATCAAAGCAAACAACATTTGGGATTGTTTTGGTGTTCTTTAGAAGCCAATCTATTGATGCTTGGTTTTGAATACCAACAATAACCAAGATGTTTGCCTGGAGTAAGGCTTTATTAATGTCTGAATTATTTGATTCTTGATCTTTACACGTTAGCAATTTGTCTGTGAATACAAGCATTTCATAGCCTTCATCAACCCATTTGAGTCTATCTGCCTGTTAATTTTCGTGGAAAAATAGTGGGTCAGCTTAAAAATAACTTGATAAAAGGTTTTGCTATCAGTTAAATGCAAAACCATAACTAATACTAAATAAAATAACTTTGGTGACATTGGCCTTACCAATTTTTCATATCATTTGGTAAAATTATGAAAATTTTCCACACCCAAAAACAACTCATTAAAGGGGAGAGGCCATAAAGCCAAAATATGATCAAAGTTCAGCTGTAATTGATGAGTTTTCTTTATGTGTTGAAAATTTTAAAGAGTGGGAAAAACCCATCTAAGACTAAATGTTTTTGCCAATTCTTAAACGAAATTGAGATAAATTCTGCCCTGAAATCTCCAGCTTTAAATCCCAACTCCTTCCATTTTCTGTAAAATCTAGTTTTCTTTAAGGGTACTGAAAAATTCAATTGATTTCTACTATGAATTGCCCAATAATAGATGTAAATTTTCATCTAAATTTCTACTATAAATTGCCCAATAATAAACGAAAATTTTATTTTTTATAACTCACAGTGTGTAGCATGACTTGCTCCCAAGGTGTGCTCTTGATAGGGCTAAAGCTCCCATCACCAACAATTGAAACTACTGTTACAGAGTGGTTTTGTTGGGTTGCCGAAACCGCCAATGTTTGTTGAGGAAAACGATTTTGGGTGTTGGTTTTAGTTGGAGAGGGAAGAGAAAGAGAGGTGGTTTTGGGGACAGCGGTTTTTGGAATGTGAAACCAGAAGTGGTTTTGCTGCGGGGGTTTAAGAGAGGGATAAGCCGAATTGAGGAGCATGTTTCATCAGTTTTTGCTCTCTCTCTCTCTCTAGATGAAAAAGAAAAGACTATTTGAGTCTCTTTTCAGCCATGTTTGCTATCTCTCACCTCTACAAGTGCAGGGGAACTCTTTTCGAACGCCAAGGCCCGGGCCCGCGCCCGCATACTTCGCAAGTAGAGGTGGCAATGGGCTGGATACCCGACTTGGCCCTAAAAAACTAAGGTGTGAGCCTCAAAATGTGGCCTGGGGGCCGGCAATCACGGCCCGAGGGTAAGGCCGGGTCGTGCCTAGGCCAAGGCCAGCTTGGTTTGGCATACCCTGTTGTTTTTTTTCCCCTTTAATTTTTATTTTTTATTTTCTTCCATTCTATTTGGCCTAGTTAGGCCTTGATAGGGCTAGGATTGGGTTTGGGTCTGGGCCTCTTTGGACCAGTAAGGGCTGGGCGGGGCCTGTATCATCCCTATAGGGCTATGATTGGGCTGGGGCCAAAGGTGGCATGGCCAAGGCCTGGGCATAGCCCACACAACTCAATTAAGTTTCTCTTGTGGGTTTGGTGAAGACAATAAGGTCGGATGATGCGACGGCCTGGGTCAACTCGAGCCTTAACTTTTTGGCCCAGGCTCAATAGATTCTTAAAACGGAATGGATTGGCTGCTATTGCCTTAGCCTAGGCCTGACCCACGGGCTATATCTCGGTCCGGGCTCTAGTTTCTAAGTTGAACTTACATGCTAGGTGGGGTTTGGCTAGGCCCCCGAGACCATTTCCTAATGGAAAATAGTTTGATAGGGCTGTCAAAACAAGTAAAGCCTCACCTCATAACCTATCGAAAATTGCAATTCAAGCATTAGAAAAACTTTCTATCGATCATATCGGCTTGAACATTATAGTTGTGACAAAAAATAGGATTTCAAGTTTTAAAAACAATATATATATATATATATATATATATATATTATGGCAAACCATCTAGATCGTCAATTTCATCCTAAAAATAAGTGTTCATAGATCCGCAAGTTTTGTACCACTTTTTGAGTTTCGAATTTCTTTGTCGGCGTTGGAAAATTGATTTTAGAACCATCATGAATATTTCCGTTACCGAAAGTGCTCACCGAACAAGAATTTGAGGTGAGGCTTTATTTTGTTTTCATAAAGTCTGGACCTTTATATAAATTCATCTTTTGCCAATTGACAACCCTAGCTTTTTAATTCAAGTAGAGAGAGAACCCCCTCTATTGACAGTCCTAATAAGGTTTAGATGTCTCCCTGCTATGTATGTTTCTAGATAAAAAGGTTTTGACTTCCTCCTAAGTTGTTTTTCAAATGAAGGTATTACTTCAATTCACTTTTAGCTTCACAAAATCCTAATATCCCCAAGAAGCTATCCCACGCTTATCTTTAAAAGATTCTTAATTGAATCCCACTTTTACTATGCTTACCTCAAAACCACAACTAAAAAATATCAAATCAATAAAGAAATAGAAGTTTCAATGTTATATAGAGAATTTTTTTTTATAAAAGATAAAATAAGGGTTTATAAATGTTCGGTTAAAAAATAGACGCAATTTTATGAAGATCTTTTGAAAAACTCGCAAGTTCTTAAAAGAATTTTAAAATTTTGAGATATTTTTTGAAAAATAATGTCTTAATTGAAAACTTGCTAACTATGAACAAAAATAGTCAGAAAAAATAATTTGTTTTACCCATATTCTTAAATGGAAAAGGTTTATATAAAGTTGAGGCCCCAAACAATCAAACTAAGGTACACCTCAAAAGAAGAAGTTAGAAATAGACTTCATAGAAGAAGTTCTTTCAATGTCAAAAAATGCTCAAATCCGAACATCTTGACCTTGAGATACGAAGACAAAAAAAAAATGGACTTTAGGACTTGGAAATAATGCACCTTGTAATGCATTATCAAGATCACTGATTTTTAAGATTTTCATGTATTCATAGATACGCTTGATGTGCACTATTTTTGAATTTTTAAGTTTTATAATTAGAGGTGAAATTAAATTTTTAGGCCATCATAAAGATTTTTGGTATTAAAATGAAATCTCTCAGCATTATTTAAAGATGCGCTCTACTTTGATTGTTTAGGGCCTCAGCCTTATACAAACCACAAGCTTCTTAAATTATCTAAAATTGTGGTGATACCGATACACTTTGTATGTCTATCCAAACTTAGACTTATCTTCTATGGTTAGTGATACCTTGATCTAGGTTAGCTTAAGGTTCCTTCACTGTCTTTCTATTGAGCTAATATGAGCTTTAATTAACCACAATGACAATTTTGTAGCATTCACTAATTAACATCAATGACCCATTAACCACAATGACAATTTTGTAGCATTCACTGATTAACATCAATGACCCAGATACAATTTCGATGCCATGCTTCTTCTACACATGGATTTTACTCTTGCTAAAAGATCACATGCACCTGCATATCATGCATTCACTTGAAGCAAAATCGTACCTGGGAATAAAACTACTGACTATCAACAGAAAAAAAGACAGAAATTTTACATGAACTATATCGGTATCCAAGAAAAGTAATGTTTTAGATTAAATAGAGATCATCCAAAGTAATGTTTTAGATTAAATAGAGATCATCCAATTTTTAGAAGGGCATATCTAAGTGTTTAAGATTTACAAATCCGATTTTATTTTGAAATACCCATGTATTGAAGAAATCCTCTGTAGGGCATGCTGTTATAAAAATGTGAAAAATCTCCAGTGTTTCGTGGGAAAGCGGATTCATACCCAAGGAGGTATGAAGTCAATTTCTAGGAAATCTCACTTATGGAGAGATATTTTTGATGAACCAAATGATGCTTAATAGTGAATTAATTCAATACATGTGCTCAATATGTGTTTAGTTTTATTGTAATTGTACTGTAAATGGACAGATCAACTAGAAACTAGAGTAGGACCTTGTGGACACAGAATAATTCATGGTAGGGTACTCACTCAAGGGGCTCTATAAAGTGAGAGTTTAATATAATTCAGCTCTTAATTTGATTCAATTCCTGTCTCCTCCTATAATAAAGACCTATGTTGGTGATTTTAATTAGAAATATATAATAGAAAATCTAACTGGAAAAAGAAACTCTCTTTCGGGGCAAATCTTTTTGGATGAACTTACTTACAAAGAGATATTCATTGATTGTTCAAAAATTAAGAACCACATTAAAATTTAAAAACCTAACACCTGATATCCAATTTTTGGGGATTTTATATTTCAAATAAACCTACGTGTTTTTACGATCTCGATATTCATCATCATCATCAAAGCCATTTCCTAACTATGTGGAGTCGGCAACATGAATCCTAGTCCGCCATTATGCTCTAAATATTTAAGCATAAAACATAGTGCTGTATTTGGGGTCTCGAGATTGCAAATGTAGGACCTGTGTAATTTTATGTGAAATTATGTATTTTTAAGGATATCTTCTTTATCTTAAAAGAACATTTCCAAAATAACTCTTTGTATCTTTCAGGCTGTAATTATTTCTTGATCGTATGCATCATAGATATTTCACGCCTACTAAGCATGTTGTATTTCACTTGTTTTTGCAACGGTGTTTCAATTTTCAAAACCATAATCTTAGGGATATGTTTTGTCATTTCAGACAATATGCCTTCTAATGGTATTGACCATTCAACAAATTAGTGATTTGCAAAGAATACTGAAAAATCTAACATATTATTTTAGGGATATTTTTTGTTCTGTTTCTCTTTTATCTCTCAACTACATGCTTCCTCTAAAATTCTCTTTGATTTAATATTAATATTCTTTTTCTCTTAAATTAGGTATCTTGAGCCAAAGTGGCTCACCCTAAATTATATATATCTCTATTGAGGTATCCTATCTTAAGTTTTTTTTGGATAGATTAACTGGGAAAGGGTCTCCTACCGTGGAGAAACAGTACAACTCAAGACATTATATTATGACACCAACCACCCTGACCCTGACCCTCAATGCCTTGAGTCCATTCATACCTTGAGCTCTATCTATATTACTCTCATCTTATCAAACTTCGTGTCTTCCACCATTAACTATGATTTAATGTATATAAAATGATGGAGCTAGACTTGATCTAAGTTTACTACTACTTTTATGCATAGCCTAGTTTAGTCGCATTTTTTTTGTTTTGGAAATTTATATAACTAACCCCTATATGTCTCGAAAGTTAAAAAATGTCCCTAATATTTTATATCTTATGTTTATGTCCTATTTTTTAAAAGAAAATCTAGTTATTTCAATTTTATCCTTTTCATATATATTGGATTGAACTTGAATTTTAGGTGTCCATGCTTTCCATCATAGTGCACTTGTAAAAAAAATAAAAATAAGAACTTTAAATTTACCAAAATAACCCTAAAATTTGTGCTGATAGTTCGGTTTTTATTTTTATTTAATTATTTTTTATATTTTTATAGATGCGTGATGGTGAAAGTGTGAAGCCATAAAATTTAAAGCTCAATCCGATATATAAATAATGTGCTCATAAAGTATTGGACATGAATGTAAAATATAAATATTAGAAATTTTTAAAAAAATTGAAAAATACAGTAGATATTTACATAAATTTCCCTTTTTAAGAGAAAAGGGTGGATTAGATCTTTGTCATGATTCATAGGTTTTGGTACAGAATCCATTGCCTAGGTGTAAAGAAATTAAACTCTAGTCCACAACTCCTAAAGAACATGGTTCTCTAGTTGTAGTCTAGTTCGAGATTAGCTCGGTCTTAATCCATATGTTTTGGCATAGAAACCGTTGCATAAATAAAATGATAATCTATTGTAGCATATATTCTATTGGGGATGCTTTTGTCTGTCTACATGAACATACAATTTACGTGCCTCTAGAGACATATGGCCATTTGATCTTTGATCCGATGATTGGGAGGAAACAAGGTTATTGTCGCAAGTTAGCATTCGCTGAATTTGTCATACTGTGATTTGTATGTGACATCATTATTAGCTCGCTTTCAATTTCCATTCAAAAATAGATGGCTATATGTCTCCAAACATATATAGTCTATAGAGAGGAATTATGTTACTGCCCCTTTGATTA